GTTGGCTTTTTGCTTCCTCACTCCCTTCAGCATGGTTAGGTGAGTCATCTATAACAGAGTCATTTGTCATAGTCTGCATTCCATTTTAAGTGCTCCTCACAGCTGGGAAACAGCTTAAAATTTACATACAGTAAAATTCGCTCACTGATACGTACTTCTGTAGGTTTTTAGCAAACGCAACAAGTTGTTTAGCATCACCACAGATATAGAACAGTCTCATCATCCCTAAAATTCCCTTACACTGCCCTTTATACTCAATCCCTATCCCCACACCCAATCCTTGGCAAGCACTGATCTATTTTCCATCTCTATAATTTTTCCTTTTTAAAGAATGCCATATCGAATATATTGTATAGTATATAGTCTTTTATGTCTGGTTTCTTTCACTGAGCATAATGATTTTGAGATTCATCCATGTGGTTTTATGTATCAGCAGTTACTTTGTTTTTATTATGGAGTAGTATTTCATTGTATAAATATTATACAAATTATACAATTTATTTAAACATTTACACATTGATGGACATTTGGACTGTTTCCCATTTTTACTATTATAAGTCGTTATGCACATTTACATATGGGCCTTTTTGTGGACACATATTGTCATTTTTCTTGAGTAAATACTTAGGAGTGAGATGGTTGGATCATATGGTATGTAAATGTTTCACTTTATAAGAAATTTCCAGTTTCCCAAAGTGGCTGTACTATTTTGCATTCTGATAAATAATTATGAGAGTTTCAGTTGCTCCACATCCTCACCAGCATTTAGTATGGTCTAACTTTTAAATTTTAGCCATTGTAATAGGTGTGCTGTGGTATCTTATTGTGTTTTTAATATGTAATGTTCTGATGATTAATGATATCAAGTATCTTTTCCTGCGTTAATGTCATTCATATATATTCTCCGGTAAATTGTTCAAATCTTTTGACCATTTAAAAAATAAGATTGTTTGTATTATTATTACTGAGGTGTAAGACTATATATTCCAGATATAAGTCCTTTATCAGATAGGTGTTTTGCAAATATTTTACAGTGTGTCTTGTCTTTTTATTTTCTTGACAGTGTCATTCGAAGAAAAGAAGTTTTGCATTTTGATGACAATTGATTTTTTCTTCTATAGTTTGTACATTTTGAGTCCTAAGAAAATATTCACCCAACTCAGGATCTCAACGATCTGTCCCTATGTTTCTGTCTAGAAGTTTTATTGTTGTAACTATTACTTTTTAGGTCTATGATCCATTTTGTTTCAATTCATTAAATTGTGTAGGGTAAGGAGTTGAATTTTGTTGATCTTTGTATTTGTTTTGCTTATGGATTTATTATTCCAGCATTATTTGTTGAAAATGCTGTCCTTTCTCCATTGAATTACCTTGGGACCTTTGCCAAAAATTGATAGGCTATCTATGTACAGATCTATTTTGGACTCTTTTGTTTTTTTCTTTGAGACAGTCTTGCTCTGTCGCCAGGCTGGTGTGCAGTGGTGTGATCTCGGCTCACTGCAGCCTCCCGGGTTCAGGCAAGTCTCCTGCCTCAGCCTCCGGAGTAGATGGGATTAGAGGTGCATGCCGCCACGCCCAGCTAATATTTGTATTTTTAGTAGAGACAGGGTTTCACCATGTTGGCAAGAATGGCCTTGATCTCCTAATCTCTTGATCCTCCCACCTCAGCCTCCCAAAGTGCTGGGATTACAGGTGTGAGCCACATTGCTCAGCCTATTTTGGACTCTTTACACTGTTCCATCAATCTATATGTCTGTGTTTATGACAATACCACATTGTAGTGATTACTGTACTATTATATTGTCTAGAAATCAGGTCATATAAGTTCTTTTTTCTTTTTCAAAATTCTTTTAACTATGTAACTCCTTTGGATTTCCATGTAGATGTTGAGTCAGCCTGTCAATTCTACAAAGAAACCTGGTGGGATTTTTACTGAGATTTAGATCATCTTGAGGATAATTATTTTAATGATATAGATTCTTCCAATCCATGGACATGTTATAGTACTCTACTTTATCCAGGTCTTCATCTTACCAATGTTTTGACATTTTAAGTGTACAAGGCTTGCACATGTTTTGTTAATTTTCTGTTCTGTTCTTTTTGATGTTACTGTAAGTGGTTGTGATTTTTAAAATTCAAGTTCAAATGGTTTGTTTCTAGTATATAGAAATATCATTGATTTTTGTATATTGACCTTGTATTCTGTAACCCTATTAGTTCTGCTGGCATTTTTGTAGATTCTTTAGGATTGTTTAGGTTCATATTGTATGTAGATAAACACAATTTAAATTATGTTCATTGCAGCCTCAACCTCCTCGGCCCACTTGATCCTCCCACCTCAGCCTCCCAAGTAGCTGGCACCACAGGTATGCACCACCAAACCCGGCTAATATTTTATTTTTTATTTTTAGAGACAGGGTCTCCCTGTGTTGCCCCGGTGGGTCTAAACTCTTGGGTCTAAACTCCACTGTGCCTGGCCCAAGCCATTCTTGGTATCAGGGTACAAACTCCTTTGAGAATATGATAAAAGCTATGAACTCTTTCTAGAAAAATCCCCCATTCAGAATTCTAGGATAAGGATTCATAGACTTCTTGAATCTCACTCATGGACCTCAGTTTTAAGAATCCTGGTTCATGCAAATCAAGACCACAGTGTGATACCATCTCACACCAGTCAGAATGGCAATCACTAAAAAGTCAGGAAGATTGTGGTGAGGCTGTGGAGAAATAGGAACACTTTTACACTGTTGGTGGGAATATAAATTAGTTCAACCATTGTGGAAGACAGTGTGGGTATTCCTCAAGGATCTAGAACCAGAAATACCATTTGACCCAGCAATCCCATTACTGGGTATATACCCAAAGAAATATAAGTCATTCTACTATAAAGACACATGCACACGTATGTTTATTGGAGCACTAATTACAATATCAAATACATGGAACCAGCCCAAAAGCCCATCAGTGATAGACTGGATAAAGAAAATGTGGTACATATATACCATGGAATACTATGCAGCCATGAAAAGGAAAGAGATCATGTCCTTTTCAGGGACTTGGATGAAGCTGGAAGCCATCAACCTCAGCAAACAAACACAGGAACAGAAAACCAAACACTGCATGTTTTCATTCATAAGTGGGAGTTGAACAATGAGAACACATGGACACAGGGAGGGGAACAACACACACTGGGGCCTGTCGCAGAGTGGGGGGCAAGGGGAGGGAGAGCATTAGGACAAATAACTAATGCATTCGGGGCTTAAAACCTAGGTGATGGGTTGATAGGTGCAGTAAACCATCATGGCACATGTATACCTATGTAACAAACCTGCACGTTCTATAGATGTATTCTGGAACTTAAAAGTAAGAAGAAAAAAAAAAAAAAAAGACATCCTGACACATGCTACAATATGGATTAGGTATCTAAAGTAGTCAAATTTCATAGAGAGAAAATGTAGAATGGTAGTTGCCAGGGGCTGGAAGAGGGGGATCAGGAGTTACTGTTTAATGGGAACAGAGTTTCAATTTTCAAAAATAAGAAAGGAAGGGTGATAGATGGTGATGATGGTTGCAAAACAATGTAAATGTACTTAAGACCAGACCAATAAACTGAATATTTAAACATAAAAGGATCCTGATTCATAGAAATCAGTAAACAAAATATGAAAACTTAGTTTACCTATATAAAAATAATACTAATTATGGTTGCTTACTTGACAAATAACTTATATCTCCATACCATGTGATATAGAAACTATTTTGCATATAATTATGTCAGATTAGCTTTGTTATACATTGGATTTGGTTATAAAATTAAACTAGAATCAAGCTCCACTTTATCAGCTGTTGTGCATGTGGCACAGATTGCCTACTCACAAAAGGAAACATTAGACCATTTCTTAGGAGCTAGAAAGATGCCTTTTAAAAATCTGTTAAAATTATTATTTTCCAGGTTGAAATGTGTGCATTTATGGAATAAATTGGTAGGTGAGAGGCCATGAGGCAAAGTGGAAGGTGGTTAGGCTTCAAAACACAGAAGAACTTGGGCTGGAATCCTAGTACTTTTACCACTTCCAAGTTTAACAAGTCCTTTAAACCCTGGCCTTCACGAACTTCACTCTTAAAGTGAATAAAAATACCTTCTTGAGAGGCTTCTACAAGGATTTGGGACGATGAAAACAAAGTGCTGAAGCTGCACTAGATCCTAAATAAATGGTGCTATTTATGGTGAGTTGGTGTTACACAACTAGTGGCTATGGCACCCAGAGCTTCCAATGCCAAATCATCAAACTGGCATGAGATTCCTGAGTTCAGGGGACAATTGCTTACTTTGTTGGAGGAGGACCTGATGTGAAAAAGCCTGATAAATGTTGACATTCCCAAGACGCCAGGGCGCCAGACGTGAGGTTACAGCATGTCCTTCCTTTGCTAGTCCAACGAAGCATGACTTGTTAATGTCACTTTTTTGGCTTTTCAGGAAGCCCGTGCAGTATCTAAAGTGGTTTAATGATCCAAAACTAACACACACAAGGTAAGAACTAGTTCAATAGTAACATCTTCTCCTTCCTTACTGTTGACTTCCTTGTTTTTTCTTTCTTTGTTCAGTGAATATCAACACAAAGACTAATAAATCTTCTGACATACTTTTTTGTCTTCCAAGAATGTATTTTCTTGTTTGGCTAAGAAAATCACCTTCCTGCCTCCTTTGGGAATAATGGGTGCATTTCTTACAGTTATATCCACCGATTTTTCAGGCCAAAGTTTTCACGCGTTCAGTGGAAGGCAGTGTGGCATGGTGGAAAAGGTAGAGGGCGAAGACTCAGATCACCTGGTCTCCATCATCATTTCTGCATCTGGCTATATGAGGTGGGCTGATGGCTGTGCCAGTTTCCTCATTTGCACCGCACACGAGGTCCCGCTTTGGGTGAGCTTTTCTCGCATACGTGGTAAGCGGTGATTGGCAGGATCCCGGAGCCCTCTTGGGCGTTAGGCTTGGGCTGCACTTGCACTGGGTGGCCTACTGCGACTGTGGCGCCGTGACGAGGACGGCGGGTTGCGCGCGCAGCACCTCCGTCGCCTCCCGATCCAGAGTCTCTGTTGCCAGGAAAACAGAGCGGCGCGCTTTCCGGCGCAGTCGCGGTGCGTCGCAGCTGTCATGGCGGAGACCGTCTGGAGCACTGACACCGGGGAGGCAGTGTATCGCTCCCGGGACCCCGTGCGCAACTTGCGCCTCCGGTAGTCACACCGCCCCAGCCCCGAGGCCCCATGGTTTTATGTCCTTAGATCATTCCAGCCTGAACTCGGTGTTCCGAGGCCCCCACTTCTGCTTAGAATCCCGACCACTTCTTCTCCGGGCTCCCCACTTCTTTCACTATCCGTACCCTCATCCACCCACAGCCTCCAAGAACCCCTTACAGACCCACCCAAGTCCATTCACGTCCTTGTTGCTTCCAGTTTCTCAGAGCCCTGTGTCTCCAGTACACCCTCTCACCCTCACTCTTCCCCCATAGGACCGCGCACCCACCCACCTCCTCTCCGTTGTCTGCACCCAGCACACCTTGGCAACCCCACCTCCTCTGTTTTGTTTCCCCAATCCTTGCTTTGTGTTCATCTCCCGGTTGCGTGTCTGGTAACAAATATTTTGGGCTTTTCTTGACAGGGTTCACCTGCAAAGAATCACATCAAGCAACTTTCTTCATTATCAGCCTGCTGCCGAGCTCTGGAAGGACCTCATAGACTTGGCCACTTTTAGGCCTCAGCCAACTGCCAGTGGGTGTTATGGTGACGATGTGCCATCTACTACTAATTCTGATACTAATCAGAATTGTGGCCAAATGTAGTGAGATAACAAGGACTATACTTCTGATATGTTATAGATTTGCCTGGCAATCTACATTCTATTTGTGGCATTTTTAAAAGACAAAACGTGTCCCAAACTCTAAATACACATATAAACACTTTAAAAAACAATTTTTAAACTGGGGACTGCTTGAAAAATAAACATATAATGTGCATATGAAGATCAACTGTATTCTTGTGGTTTTCCTTATCTGGGAAACCGAAAGAATGAGGAGGAGAGGACAGAGTGGTTGTGTCAGGTCACTAGTCTGTCTGCCTTTATTGTTTCTCTTTCTGTTCAGAGCTGTTCCTGGGCAAGAGTGTGGGCTTGCGGGTGGTGAAACATGTGCCTCTGAAAAAGGCATACTCAGCCAGCCAAGAGTGTATTAGATTAGTTTTGTTTTCTTTGTTTTTGTTTGTGTTTTGTTTTGAGACAGAATCTCATTCTGTTACTCAGGCTGGAGTGCAGTGGTAGGATCATAGCTCACTGTAAACCTTGGTCTCCCAGGCTCAAGCCATCCTCCTGCCTCAGCCTCCCAAGTAGCTGGGACTACAGGCTCACACCATCACACTCAGCTGATTTTTTAAAAGTTTTAGTAGAGAAAAGGTCTTGCTATGTTGTCCAGGCTGGTCTCAAACTCTTGGGCCCAAGTGATCCTTCCACCTTAGCCTCCCAAAATGTTGAGATTACAGGCACGAGTCACTGCGTCCAGCCAGATTTGGTTCTGTTAAAAAATCATGTATTTGCCTTCACTGTCCTCTCCTGACACTTGGCCTCCTAAATTTCAGTGTTTGTGATACTACATATATGGCTTTGGAAACAGTAAAGATAAAAATGCCAGGGTTATTTTCTAGCAAATGCAGACAGTTTGGACTGCAGAAGGGCTGGCTATTCAGCTTATATCTAAATTTCAGTTTCTTATATCCAGTTAGATTAGATATTTCCTGGAGGAGGCTGGGCACGGTGGCCCACACTTGTAATCCCAGCACTCTGGGCGGCCAGGGCAGGTGAATCACCTGAAGTCAGGAGTTCAAGATCAGCCTGGCTAACATAGCAAAACCCCATCTCTGCTGAAAATACAAAAATTTGCCAGATTGGTGGCGTGTGCCTGTAATCCCAGCTACTCGGGAAGCTGAGGCAGGAGAATCGTTAAACCCAGGAGACAGAGGTTGCAGTGAGCTGAAACAGTGCCACTGCACTCCAGCCTGGGTAACAGAGTGAGACTCCACCCCCCCCCACCCCCCCAAAAATTCCTGGAGGGTATTTTCTTTTACTCAAATTAGAGTAGTGATTAAGACTTCTTGGGTTGTAATCTTGGCTTCTACTCATACTAACTCTTATATACAGCCTCTCTAGCATTTCTCTAGGTTGAGTGCTTAATAAATTGCTGAATTCCAGCTGGTTTTTGTGGCAAATATAAGAATAGGAACTCTGGTTATAATCAACCACAGAGCAAGAAGTGGTGCTGGTTCGGCTCAAGCATTTGACTCACTCTGTTGTCTTTGGAGGTGGACACCGCCCAGAGGAAGACGAAGAGGAGGAGATTGTGATTGGGTGGCAGGAGAAGCTCTTTAGCCAGGTGAGCCAGTGTCTTTTGTCTGCTCTGTCTGTTCCACCTGGTCTGCCCCCACATGACTGGTGATACATATTGCCAAAGTGATTTCCAGACAGGTTGTAACAGTTTATACTTCGCCCTGTTGTGTTTAAAGGGCAGTGTAACAGGGATTGCCACTACTCAGTTTTATGATTCTGGGTGAGGCACTTTTCATCTCTGGGCTATCTGCCGTCTATAATCGCAGACTTGGATTAGACTATCAGTCTGATTCCTTTTAGGTCTAATGTTCTTGGTTCCCCTGCCATCCATTAGTTTAGTGTTGGTTATGAAAACGTGTCAGGTAGCATCAGCTCTGTAGGACTGATTTGATTAAATAGTTACAGAAGCAAAAGTTTGCTGTATTCTAATGATGTACACATCTCTGTTTCCTTATGGTAACCTCAGTTTGAAGTAGATCTGTACCAAAATGAAGCAGCCTGTCAGAGTCCTTTGGATTATCAGTACCGTCAGGAGATCCTGAAGCTGGAGAATTCAGGTGGCAAGAAGAACCGACGAATCTTTACCTACACTGACTCTGATAGATACACCAATTTGGAGGAGGTATTGTTCTTTCCAGGGTCTCATAGCTTCCCTCTTTGCTTCCTCTAGCTTTTTTGCCTCACTGGATTCTTGTGTTATGTCAGAAGCCTAGTAAGGGGAGACAGGTAGCCTGTCTAGGAACCGCTGTGAGCTGCTGCTGCTGGCAGCCAGCCTGCAATAGAATGGGCACAGCCTACAGGTGGTGAGGCTGCTGCTCCCTTCTCTGCCTGCTGGAGGGCCTGGAGGAGCTGCCAGTATCTCTGATTATACGCTTGCAGAGTGCATACTGGGAGAAGTAACCATTGGGCTTGACTTCCTCCATGCATCATGAAAAAAGACAGGTGGTGGAGTCTGGAACAATCTAGGTAAAATTCATCAGGGGATTCGGCCCAAACTCTGAGTATATGGGTTCGAAGAAGAGTTCAGTATAGCTGTGGAAAATGACTTCTGTCCTCAATTTGCCAATGACAAAAATACCCTTGTGACCTTGTTTTGCATTTTCTTCAGTCACTGCATTTCAGTTGCTTCTGTCTCAGTAAGATTTTAAACTCCTCGAGGGTACAGCCTATATTTTTTTATTTTTGTCTATGACTCTGTAGGTCTCTGCAAGGAACAGGTATTCAATAAATGTTTTTGAAAGATTGACATGCTTTCATTAGCAGAGCTGTGGATTGATAACATTAGCTGGTCATGGTGGCATGTACCTGTAGTCCTGGCTACTTGGGAAGCTGAGGTGGGAGGATCACTGGAGCCCAGGAGTTGAAGGTTGCAGTGAGCTATGATAGCAGCACTGCACACTGCAGCCTGGGTGAGACACTGTCTCTTTAAAAAATAATATCAATTAAATTAACTTTGGGTTGTCTGTTTTGGAAAAGCAGATGAAAATGCAGTTAGTGCTCAGTTACCATGTGAGGATTTCCCACAAAATACTTGTATCCCATTTGGCATTTTCTAACCATCTTGTTTAACTTCAACATCTACCAAGCAAACTAACCCAACGTTTTGTTGGTTTGTGCTCAGAGAATGCAGACTGATTTTAATATTAACATAAATAACTAATTTTTAAAATCCAAAGGCACACCACGATGTGGTAGAAATCTTCTTTGGGTTGTTTGGCCACTGCTTCCTCCGTTAGCATGTATAATTATGAGGTGGTGGAACCTGCAGGGTTCAGGTCCTGGATGAGGTTTCAGAAGGCAGACTTCCCTTCAGGTACTTGGCCCCATGTGGCCCTAACCAGATGGCTTACGCAGGGCTACTTGCTTTTCCCAGCACTGTCAGAGAATGACCACTGCAGCCAGCGAGGTGCCTTCATTCTTGGTTGAGCGAATGGCAAACGTCAGGCGGCGCCGGCAGGACAGACGAGGGATGTGAGTGCGGGCATGGGATGGGGGGAAGCTTTTATTTTTTATTTCCTAAAGTTGTGTAGTTTTGCATTTTTATCAGTGGTTATATATAGTATTCAGGTATTACTTTATGATTAATTTAAAAAATAAATATGCTCGGGTGCAATGGCTCACACCTGTAATCCCAGCACTTTGGGAGGCCGAGGCGGGTGGATCACCTGAGGTCGGGAGTTCAAGACCAGCCTGACCAACATGGAGAAACCCCGTCTCTACTAAAAATACAAAATTAGCCAGGCATGGTGGCGCGTGCCTGTAATCCCAGCTACTCAGGAGGCTGAGGCAGGAGAATCGCTTAAACCCAGGAGGCGGAGGTTGCGGTGAGCCGAGATCGCGTCACTGCACTCCAGGCTGGGCAAAAAGAGCAAAACTCCATCTAAAAAAAAAATAAATAAATAAAAATAAATAAAAATATAAAATGTCTTCCTCACTCTTCATGTGGACATTTTTCCAAAGTGCCTCAGAGAGAGGGAAGGGATGTCATTTCTGTTTGTCAAATATTTTGACTCTTAAAAAAACAAAGCAGTTTGTCCACCAACTCAAACTTCCCATTCTGCCATGGCTCTCCACTGGGGTGTGCTCCATTGGGGTGTGCCAGGGAAGTGACCTTTTTGCGGTGTCTCCCAGGGAGGGCGGCATCCTCAAGTCACGCCTTGTCACCTGGGAGCCCTCAGAAGAGTTCGTCAGGAACAACCATGTCATTAACACCCCTCTTCAGACAATGCACATCATGGCAGACCTGGGGCCCTATAAAAAGTGAGTGGCGCTTCTCACTGCCAGCTTAGAGCCTCATCCTTTTCTCCTCTCACCAGCTCTCCCCTTCCTGTTATTATCATCCTGGGTCTCCTCTCACCAGCTCTCCCCTTCCTGTTATTATCATCCTGGGTTATAGGGGAGGGAGGGACTTTTTCTTCGTTTTGTTCTTAGTTGCGAGTGAAACTTCTTGCTGCCAGCTCAGATCCTCATCCTCTTCTCCTCTCACCAGCTATCCCCTTCCTCTTATCATCCTGTATTAAAGAAGAGGGAGGACTTTTTCTTCCTTTTTTTCTTAGTTGTATGTGGAAGAAAGTTTTACCATGACAGCTCTCCCTATAGCCTCTGTTCTCTCCCCTAAAGTGGGCTCAGTATCTCTTCCTCTTTCCCTGGAGGACCATTGACCTCAACCTTGGTGTTTTCCTGATTTCTAGGCTTGGCTATAAGAAGTATGAACACGTCCTGTGTACTCTGAAGGTGGATAGCAATGGTGTGATCACAGTAAAGCCTGATTTCACGGGCCTCAAAGGACCCTACAGGTAAGGAGAGGAAGAAGAGGGTAGTGGAGACTGACATTCCTTCCCTTGGTTGCACTTCTTGTCCCTAGTCAACTAGACTGTCAGAAGGTCCTTCATCTGTTCTAACTTTTACATTCCCAGGCAATGGTTCATATTCTGTTCCAAGTCATGGACCTTAGGAAACCGGGAACTCCTTTCTCAGAAAATGTACAACTGCACCAATTTGAAAGGGATCACTTCAGTGGTACATTTAAGTGACAGTGATTCTCCGTGCTGCTGAATGTAGGACCTGACCAGAACAGAGTGGGGTGAACTCAGCCAGGCTTTTCCTGTGGGCTCACTGTTCCTCATCTCTGTATCTTGGAAATGACAGAAGTGTAAATTAGAAATTATCTGGACCAACCTGTCCATTTTTCAGGTGAAAGAACTGGGTGGCAGGAATGTTGTGCCTTATGGTTTGACTATAACTTCAGGCCAGAAATGGGCCCAGAACCTATACTGTCTGAGTCTAGTCTGGTGCCCTCTCTGCTTTATCCTTTTGTTTCTCTTTCCTGGTCATCAATACAGCCATTTTTATCATCATATACTTCAAGTGAGGTGTATGGCCCCTGATCGCTTATCCCTGGGCTGGGAGCTATCCCCAGGCCCATCTCTCATTATTAGAGTCACTCCTTTCTGTGGCTTTGACCTTACAGGATCGAGACAGAGGGAGAGAAGCAGGAGCTGTGGAAATATACAATCGACAATGTTTCCCCCCTCGCACAGCCAGAGGAGGAGGAGCGGGAACGGCGAGTGTTCAAGGATGTGTGTGCGAGTTCATTCCAAGTATTGAAGGGATGAGCCTCAGTGCCTGGAGCTGAGACTGTTTCTGGACTTGATGTCAGCAGTTGCTTGGGAAAAGCCTTGCCCTTCATAGCCCCTTCTGACTTAGGCAGCATTGCTGACATATCAGAAGTTTTTGATCATATTATAATAATAACAATAACCATTTATTTGAGCATTTACCATGTTCTGTGCTAGTACTTTACATACCTTATTTCCTTTAGTCCTTACAACAACGCTTTGAGGTGAACACTTTTCTTATTACCACCTTGTAAGTGGGAAACCGAGATTGAGGAGCTAAGTAGTCTGCCCAAGGTTACATAGCTTGTAAGCACGAGAGTCAGGATTGTGCCCCAGACCAGCTGACTCTAGGGCCTCTGCTTCACAGTAAAATGGCGGTGGGTCAGGGGCTTATGCCTCCAGCTCTTGGTGATCCTTCCCACTATTGCTTTTCTTCTTCCCGTTCAGAACTGAACTTTGGTCTAGCTTGGGTTGCATCTTGAGTTTTGGTTTGGTTTGTTTCCTCAGCTTTATGGCCGGCACAAGGAGTATCTCAGCAGCCTCGTAGGCACTGACTTTGAGATGGTGAGTAGCTTGGCTTCCTGTAGCACTGTGAGCTGTATTTAGCCGGAGCATTCTGACTGTGGATGAGTTACAGCACTTCTCTTAAAGGCCTCCAAGGTATACTCTACGGTGTGAAAAGGAAGTCAAAGAATAGCACATATAGTCCTTGTTACGTGTTTTGCAACATTACATGTTGATAGAGAACTGTTAATGCCGAGAAAAAGGCCTGAAAGGCTACGCATATGCTGTGGGTGGCTTTTTTGGGGAGGGTGGGATTAGATGTGGTAGATGGGTAGTGGGTGGTGAGAGGGATATATCAGGGATTTTTGCTTTTTATTCCCTAAACTCAGGTAGTTTTGAATTTTTATCAGTGGTAATGTATTTATGTATTACTTCATAATTAATTTAGAAAATAAATATAAGGATGAAAAATGTCTTCTTCACCTTTCATGTGGATATTTTTTCAAAATACCTCATAGAGAGGCAGGGGTGCCATTTCTGTTTGTCACATATTTTGGCTCTTAAAAAATATAGGCCCGATGTGGTGGCTCATGACTATAATCCCAGCACTTTGTGAGACCAAGGTGGGAGGATCACCTGAGGCCAGGAGTTTGAGACCAGCCTGGGCAACATAGTGAGACCACATCCCTACAAAAATAAAAAAAATTAGCAAGGCATGGTGATACATGCCTGTAGTCCCAGCTATGCATGATGCTGAGGCAGCAGGATTGCTTGAGCCCAGAAGTTTGAGTTTGCACTGAGCTATGATCACACCACTGCATTCCAGCCTGGACAACAGATCAAGACCCTGTCTGAAAAAAAAAAAGAAAGTGGTTTAGTTCAGCTATTCTGTCGTGCTGTTCTTTGTCTTTTCTCGTTCTAAGTGTTCCATCTCTAGACCTGGAAACAAGGATAGAATTACTGGTCTCCCTCTCTTTCTCTGAAAAATTAACCTTCACTGTTTCCATATTGCATAAGCAACAGATATTCAGTATTTAAAAGTTAGATAAGACAGATGCACAAATAATTAAAAAAGAAAACTCCCTGGTTTCTTGACCTCAGCTGTGTAAAGGGAACTGGGCATTCTGGCTTCCTATTGCACACCACAGGGCAGTTGCTGTTGCTTGGCTAATTTCTCATAGTGCATTGTCCTTACTGCCATTTAAATTATGTACTTTCCCCTTACATTATGTATCTTAGGAATGAAGGAAACAGATCTGTGGAGAAGTGTCAGGGTGGGGAGAAAATGCAGTAGCGACACCCAGGGTCTGACCCCCAGTGTCAGGTTGTCTGCAGATTTGTAGATGGGGCTGGAGGAGAAGTGCCAATTCCCTTCAGGCCTGCTGATCCTTTCCCACTTCTCTTCACCTTAGACTGTCCCAGGTGCCCTCCGGCTCTTTGTAAATGGAGAGGTAGGTAAGTGTCTTGCTAGCATAGATCTCTTGATGCTAAGGCACGCGCCTAGATGTAGCTGTGAATAGTCTCCTCCACCCTGGTAGAGGCCTTGTCTGCTGTACTTGGGAAACTCAGTGGTGAGTCTTTCCTGGAAATGCAGAGGGTTCCTGGCCCTCAAAAGACTTGCTCTCAGGGTGTGTTGGCCCTTCAGGACTGGGTTGGGTGCTAAGGGTGGTAGGATAAAAAGCTAAAATAGCTTCCTGTTTTCTCTCTTAGTTTCAGCCCAAGGCTATGAGTATGACAATCTCTACGTCCACTTCTTTGTGGAATTGCCAACTACTCGTAAGTAATATTCTTAAGTCTCTCCTTTTATACCCATTCAGACAGATGTAGAGGCATTTGGTCAGGCTTCCTTTCCCACTCCTCTGCTGAAACTGTTACTGTTCTTTTCAAGGTTGTAGATCACATCCACTTTGCCAAACCCAGTGGGAACTTTCCTGCTTTCACCTCGCTTGACCTTCCTGAAGCATTTGCCAGAGCCCACTGTGCTGCATGACACACTTCTCTGGCTTCTGGCTCCACATTCTCTCTTCTATCTCACTGGTGGCCCCTCACCTTCCTTGGGTAATGCCTTCTCTTCTGTTGATCTTACACCGTGAGGGTACCCCTGGCTAAGCCAAGGCCTTCTGTTACTCTCTGTCTGCAGTCTTCCTGGGTGACCTCATCCATCCCATGGCTTAAATACCATCGATGTGTCTCAGACTCCCAGGTTTCTGCCTCCAGCCTTAACCTTTCCCCTAGACGCCAGACTCGTATCCAGTTACCTCTTTGTCATTTCTGTCTAACATGATCAAAGAGAACTCTGGATTCCTCCTCTTCCCTCAAACCTCTCCTCCCTGGTATTCCCCATCCTAACAGAATGGCAGTATCTGAGTTGCTGATGCCAAAAACCTAGGGGACATCCTTGATCCCTCACTTTCCCTAGCTCCCTATAGCCAGCCAATCTGTCAACAGTTCCTGTGCGTTCTGTCTTCGAAAGCTGTTGTGAACCTGTCTGTTCTCTCCAGCACCCTACACCAAGCCACCACCATCTCTTGTCTAGGCCAATGCATTCAACTTCTGACTTATCCCCCTGCTTCCTGCCTTGCTCCCATTTGCAGTTCATTTGCCACAGACACCAAAGCCAAGTTGAGTTTTAAAAAATGTAAACAAGTTATGTCCCTTTTGAGCTGAAAACCCCCAAGAGCTTCCCCTCCCACTTAGAATAAAATGTAAACTCAATACCCTGAGTGAGCGTCTGCCTATCTCTTCCGTACAACATTTCAGTCATTCTTCCCAGCCAGGTTCATTCCCCTCTTAGAACCTTTTAAGGGCCATTTCCTTTGTCTGAAACCCTTTCTGCCATATCTTAGCATGGCTGGTTCTTTCTGAGTTTAGGTCTCAGTCTGTGTCGCTTCTGAAAGGCCTTCTCTTACCACCCGGCCTAAATGAGCCTCCCAGTCACTCAGTCCCTTCCCGTTTTGTTTGAATAGAGCACTCATCACTACCCAATAGTCTCTTGTTGGTTTGTTTTTTGTCTCCCTGCTTCCCCCAGAATGTCAGCTCCATGAGAGATGGGGATCTTTTCTATCTAGTTACCAAGATACCCCTAAGATATACTAGCACATAGCAGGCACTCAGTAAATGATAAATGAATGATAGATTGTGTGAATAAATGAATAAAGAAACTTTGTCTTTTTCTGAACGACTTGCTTTCCTCCCAGGTGAGCTTACTATATTTGTTCTTTGGCTTTCAGACTGGTCAAGCCCAGCATTCCAGCAGCTCTCAGGAGTAACACAGACATGCACCACCAAGTCCCTGGGAGTGGTATGGAGAATGAGAGCGGGTATCTGGAAGGGAATGAGATCTGCTCCTGGGATGGCATTTGAGGTTTTGTCAGGCCAAGTGCTGTGCACCCTGGGGAGGATTCTGAGTTGGGTGACTTGTATGTGGGTTCTGCAGGGCTACCTGGCCCGGAGGTCCTCTCTGCCTTTTTGAGCATGGCAGCAGCTTGTCTTTGGATGTCCCTTTGCATCTCAGACTCCTATTTCCCACCTGGGTGATAATTTTTCTTTTTCCCTTGTGAAGATAACCTTGTCATTGGCCACAAGGAGAACAAATTCCAAGGGAGGGCTTGCCCACCCTATGACACTCCTTTTTATAGGACAAGGTGGCTCACTTCTCCTACCCATTCACATTTGAAGCCTTCTTCCTCCATGAGGATGAATCTTCTGGTGAGTAGCTCAGCAGTTGATCCTGGGCCTTGGTTCCCCTCAAGCAGTGCTGTCTTGGTGAAGGCCCGCCTGTGACCTGGCCGCTTCTCTCGTTTCTCCCAGATGCACTCCCGGAGTGGCCTGTGCTCTACTGTGAGGTCCTCTCGCTGGACTTCTGGCAGAGGTACCGTGTGGAAGGCTATGGGGCTGTGGTGCTGCCTGCCACTCCAGGTAACCGCTTGTCCCCGCCCTTCCATGGCTCACATGCCCTAGGCCCTACGAGCAAGACTAACACTCGAATGCTTCTGGTGAGGGGTGGGGATAGCTGGGAATTAGAAGCATTTGGCTTGAAAGAGTTCCTGCTCCTCTGAGGACTTTCTGCCCCACTCCACTAGAGATAATAACGTGGCCTTGGCACTGACTTCCTGACAGTCTTGCCATGTGCTTCATGCTCCTCTGATTGGACTCAGGGTGAGAAGCTGTATGGCAAAATTGGCTCATAGCATGTGTGTATTGAATGAAGCAGCATTCATTTGGGAATAAAAGCATCTGTCTTCTACTGTGTGCCAGGCATTGTGCCATACTTCTCACTTAATTCTCCCAGCCACTCTGTGAGGTGCAGGTGGTATTATTTCCATTTTACTAGATGAGGAGAATGAACTTCAGAGAGGTTAAGAAACTTGTCCTGGGTATGCAGGGAATAACTGGCAGAGCAGAAATTTGAATTTCTCCCTGATTGACTTCCAAACAGGTGCTATGGGTAACCATGATAACCTTCACCAGAGGCCAGGTCATCACCAGACCAGGTGTTTTAGCGAAGTCTAGGCCTGTGTCATTGCTGGGGAGTCAGTGAGGGGCCACATGCCCTTTCTGGACCCGGCCCCAGTCTCCTCTTCCCTTGCGCAGGCTCACACACCCTGACAGTCTCCACATGGAGACCTGTGGAGCTTGGCATGGTGGCTGAGCTGAGGAGGTTTTTCATTGGCGGTTCTCTGGAACTGGAGGACCTCTCCTATGTGCGGATACCAGGATCCTTCAAGGTGACTTTTGTCTTTGGAGCGACTTCATGCTGGGAACTTATGGTCCTGTCCTTCTGTTCTGTAGGAGGTGGGATCTGGGTCAACACCCCTTAGTTGTGCATAGCTTCAATATTAGCCCCTTCCTTCCTATGGCTTAAGCTGAAAGTCATGACCACATTTTGAACCAGGTTCCAATATCTACACTGCTATCATAGGAGGTCTCTAGAAAATAGTATAGTTAGAGATTTCCCTTGGTCCCCATCAGAATAACGGGCTCTTTCTTTCCCCCGTCACTGAAGGCCTCAGTAATCAGATGTGGGAAGGATTCACAGTAAGCATGTAAGACCGCTGCCTCTCAGATGAGGTTGGAATGTTCCCTGGTGTAGTTGGGGGAGCCCAGTAGCCCAGTATTAGCCTTGAGGTAATAGAGTCTGAGTGATGGAATAAGGTTTCCCCAACAGAACTGCGCTTCCTAAGAATGGGAATAAGAACAGGGGCAAGTCCAGCATACTGCGGGGGTGTCTAGAGATGGCGGAAACCTGATGCTCTCCCAATGGCATGCCGCAGGGGGAACGCCTGAGCCGCTTTGGACTCCGCACGGAGACCACAGGCACCGTCACCTTCCGCTTGCACTGTCTGCAGCAGTCCAGGTGAGGGACCTGGCCCTCTGCCTCGGGGCACCTTATCCCTGAGGGGTGGAGAACAGCCGTAACCATGTGGCTGGCTTCCCTGCAGGGCCTTCATGGAATCGAGCTCCCTTCGGAAAAGGATGCGGAGTGTGTTGGACCATCTGGAAGGGTTTAGCCAGCAGAGTTCCATTCACAATGTGCTGGGTATGTCCCCTCCCCAAGCTGGCCACCCCGGGTCAGCATGGGCCTGTTTGCCAGCCAAATACCATATCTCCTTTCCTTACAGAGGCCTTCCGTCGAGCCCGGCGCCGCATGCAGGAGGCCCGGGAAAGCCTCCCGCAGGACCTAGTGAGCCCCTCTGGAACCCTGGTCTCCTAGCTCACAGCAGCCCTGGGCCACAGTGCAAGAGGACAAGATGGGGGATATTTGAGGCCAGTGCTCTCCTGCCTCTTCGTCTGTCTGATTAGAGACCACGCTGGTCTGCTGGGAACCAGAAGAGCTGGGAAATTCCTAGCTGGCCCCTCTGCCTAGCCTTCTGCAGGGTCTTCTCCCTACCCTGTGGAAATAAAGCCAGAGACCCTGTGGCCCCCCCCTTCATGTTTGCAGTCACTGTAAATGGGCATCACAGCAAGGCAGGCTTTTTGGTCTGAAGCTGTTTGGGGTGACCCCATAGTGAGTGTGGCCTTTACTCACTTTTCTGGCTTGTCTCACAGTAGCAGGGGGATGCAGGGATCTGCTGTTCTCCAGCCTTTAAAAATGGAGCCTTCCTTCTTGCAAGACCAAAGAAGGAAGGAAGGTGGGTGGTGAGAGGGGTCTTAAATCCCCAGCCTGTGAGTCTTAGCCTCCTCTTTCCAGGGCAGCCTCATTCTACTCCTTGGGGCTTGCTGAGGTTGAGATATGAGTTATTTCTGAGTAGGTGAAGGTTGAAGGCAGTGCCGAGTCCTTTATTCTAGCTGGTTGGTATCTTTTACTGTGTTCTTTTTGTTTTTTGGGTTTTTTTCCATAAACCCCTTTTATTTTGACTGATGTTCCGTTGGCTGTTTGTCTGCTCAGGTTGCTGGTATGGCTGGGGTGTTCTTCTTAATGTCAGGGCCCCTCCCATGTGTGTCCTTCCCCTTTTCTGCCTTTCCCTACTCCACAGTGTTTCTTTGGGCTCTCCTAATTCAGCCCCCAGGAGAGGCTTAGATGGTTGTGCCAGTGTGCGTGTTAGCAGCACTTCTCTTCAACACCTGGAGCAAAGCATGGAACTGAGGCCACGTCCTCCCTAGCCCAACACAGAAACAGCAGCCCCTGCCCTTAGCAGTGCTTTATTGGTAGAAGCAGAGCATGCTGCCCAGCCTCAGGCTCAGAGGAGGACTGTGGGGTGTCTGGAGGCTAGGACTGAGTGGTCTCTCAGTCACGGTGAGGGAGGGGAGGGAGGGCTGGGAAACAGTAGAAAGTGCTGTAAACCCTCCAGCTGACTTTTCTTGCTTGGGGTGCAAGACCACATAGCTTGGCTCCCAAGCCTTTGCACGTGGCACTGATTCATAACCTAATACCTAAGAGACTCCCACGGCGGGAAGGTCCATTGCTGCTAGGAGTCCCCAGCTCTCACTCCCGGCTGGGGAACCCAGCTCTGAGCTGTAGCCAGCAGAAGCGTCAGCAGGCTGCAGTTGCTCCAGGGGGACAAGGCAGCTTTATGGTCCTCCCCTTCTCCTTGTCTCCAAAAGTTGGAGGCTTGGGATAGACTCCTGTGGAAGTAACAGAACGGATAAGTGAGGAATTTACTGGACATTTAGAAATGGAGCTGTTTTGGGGTATTAGTGACCAAACTGAGGATAGCTGGATGCTCCTAATTTCCTCGCCAAAGTCCTAGGGCCTGGGATTGACTGTCGGTCCAGAAGCTAGTACATTGGGAAGCCACTTGGAAAAAGTACTGTATCCCTCGTGACAAGTTCTGTTTTCTCTGCTTAGAGACCTAAGAGGACTCAGCCGTCCATCCAGGGAAGGATATGAGGGCCTAACCCAGCCCAGGGTGCTGGAGGTGGCCTCCCCTTACCTGCAGAAGCCTCATGTCCCCCGCCAGGCTGACAGGTTCAACCTGGGGATACGGCTGCAGCTCACAAAGCCCCGGGGATAGATGTTGGCTCTGAAGATGTCCCTTGAAACCATGGTGATACCGGTATTGTCACATATAATTCGAGACAAGGAAATTCTGCTCAGGGCCTCGCGCTGTCTTTTGGTGAAAACCCCTCGTTTCTCCCACCAGAACCTACCAGGCAGTCAAGAGATGTGGGTGAAGGTTGGGGAGGAATTACCTTGTAATGAGCACCTGTTGTGTGCCAGGCACTTTACATATATTATTCCATTCAGTTCTCACAAAATTCCTGCAAGATTGGAATCTTAGAAATGAAACAAATTCAGTGGCCAAATAAATTGCCCAGTATTCAGTGCACAGTAATTTAAGTGGCCAGGGCTGGATTTGAACTCAGGCAATACCAACTCCAAATAAGGAGTCAGGTCTTAAATCACAAACTTATTGGAGGGAAACCAGATTTCGCCCTTTCTGCTCATGTTTTCTGGGATCTACCAACCCAGAACAGCGAGGCTGCCAGGCTACCTCCTGGGTTTAAGGTGACTCTGGCTCAGGCAATGTGGGCCTTGCCTGGGTCAGTGTCTCTCTTCCTTTAACCCAGCTTTCCAGAGAAGAGCCTCCTGATTTCAGATCCTGTGAACTTGGAAGAAATGATATTAAAAAGAGCAGTGATCTTCAATGTTTAGTCTTGAAATGCTAGTGTTTTTCCGCTCTGCCTCTGGTGCTAATGTCTTTTATGATAGGGTCACTTACCTGTCTCCGTCTCGGGCTCTTCTGAACTGGTTCTCGAACAGACAAGCCAGAAGAGGCCCCACTCGAGCCCCCGGCAAAAGAGGCTCAGCGATGGCCCCAATCCAGATGTCAATGTTGTCAGGTGTTCCATACAGATTCAGGAACTTCCTTGCCAAGTCCTGGTTTTTCAGCACCTGGCTAAGCTGTGCCAAATTCCGGGGCTGGGAGAGCCCACAGAAGCGCCTCCAAGCATTGTACCCTGCAGGGGAACGGGGAGAAGCAGCTTCAGTCTTGCTGACCTCCCATTAGCTTCTGCTTCTCTCCACCAGTCCTCTGGGAGGAAGCTGTGGCCAGTCAATATTGGGCAGACCCAGAAGATCCTGCTGGCAGAAGAGGCCCTAAACCTTCCAAAGACCAGGTTTCTGTCCTCTGATTGAAAATGTGAGTGGACAACCATGCTCAGTGTGCATCAGACTAAGGAGTGTGTCCTAACCTAAAAAGCTGTTTTAACCCAAAACACATAACCACAAATCCGACACTTAATGATATTATTACTGGGCTCGAGTGCATTCATTAGACACAAGTAAGACGGTACCCAGAACATAAAAGACTCTCCATCAGGATTGTAGAATGAATGAATGAGTGAATAAATGAATGAACAAACCAACAAGTGGAGAGCGTGGATAAAATTCATCTACTCAGAAAAGGATGGCACACTATGATTCCTTTGATATGAGAGGTCCTGCATAGGCCAATATAGAGACACAAAGTAAATTAAGAGGTGATTGGGGCTGGAGTCGGGATGGGGATTGACTGTTCTTACAAGGTTTCTTTGGGGAGTGGTGGAAATGATGTGATATTAGATCATGGTGATGGCTGCATAACTCTAAATACACTAAAATCATTGAATTGTCCATTTCATATGGATGAATTTTATGGTATATCTCAATAAAGCAGTTTTTAAAAAGTTTTCAGAAACTTCCAAAGACCAGCCGTACCAATTTGTCAGCCATCAGGATCCCACACAGGACCAAGCCACATCATAAGATGTGACAATCAAGGTAGGAGATAGCTTGGCCATGTCCCAAAGGGACACCAGCCCAACATCATCCATTGAACCACAACTCACACACACCATCCCCCAGCGGAACACATGAAAACCACATAGGGTTTTACCATACTGAGCACTGTTGGGTGAATATCTCAGGACCCTCACAGCACCTTTGTGAGGTACTTTTATGGCATGCTAACTATATCTACTATGTTTACTAAAGTTGAGCAACCATGGACTTCAGGGTCACTTTACTGTTCAGTGGAGCTCAAACCAGGTTGTCCAGTTCCCAGTTTGATGTTGGACTTGGGAAGGGATTAGAGGAGATTGTAAGAGCTAGTGTCAGGATAATATTTCTGGAGGGCACAGCTATTGCGGGGAGCAGAAACTCACAGTGTGGAAACTTGGGTGGCTAGCGATCTCAGCTCTCCAGCAGGGAGCGCCCACAGCTCCTTAGCTGCCAAGAGCACCCAAGTTTAAGGAAGGAAAGAAGCTCAGGTTTCTCGAGTGCCTGCTGTGCTCTACCAGGCGCCGTGTGAAGTGGGGTGGGCAGTAGGAGGTGCCACCACTGCTTCACACATGGGCACATGGGCCTTCAGGTTCTTTCTAGACAGGGAGGTAGGAGGTGGGAAGGAGAGAGGAGCAAGGCAGCGGCCAAAGCCTTCCCCTACTGGGGTTGAACAGGGGGAAGAAAGGAGAAATTGTAAATTTAAATTCAGATTTTACTACTTCTTATTTATGTGACCTTGGGCAAGTTACTAGCTGTCTCTGAACATAGTTCCTCATCTATAAAATGACTGTAATCATTGCTTCTCAAGGTGATTGGGAAAACAAATTAATGTACATGAAAGTGACTAACAAAGTGCCTACATTTTCTTCTTTCCTGGGATAAAGTCATTTGTGCCCTCACCAAACAGTCACTGCAGACTTAGTTTTATTCCACCTATTCCCTGCCTCTAAGACTCTTTGCCTTTCTCCACTTAGAGCAAGGAACGTTTCTGTAGCTCCGAAATTTTAGCCTTCCTCCTTGGAACTTGCCAGAGTGTTGGGAATGGAGCAGTTCTTCCCTGCCTTTGAAGCCTATTGCGTTTTTTTCTACTTGGAAAGTTCAAGCCTCCCTTTTTCAGCTCCTGGGCCTAAGTCCTGGTCCTGTGGTGGACCTAAAGCTGGAGCCCCTACAGTGGATGGGGAACCATGGCAGGACAACACTTGGTGTTCCAGGGGTGCTTTGGGAAATCAACCTTGGCCTTGCATGGCTTTGCACCCCTGTACATCCTGTAGATAGTCCCAGTCAGAAGGGAGGTACTAGGGTCTTCCCAGACTCCTTGAGCAGCCTGGCCTGCGCAAAGCTGGGAGAAGAGGCGGACAGCGCCCTCACCTGGAAGGCCATGGTCCCGGCTTCGTTGCATGTTGAGAGCTGCCAGGTCCAACCCGATCCTCCTCACTTGCCGAAACAGCCGGTCCCGGAGCTCATCCACTAACATGGCATCCTGACGGTTCAGCTTGGCGGGGGTGGCCATGAGTCCCCGGAGGATGGGGTCGATGCCACCTGGTGGCAGGGAATGTGAGCAGCACAGATTGAACCAGCCTCTGGGAAGCTACTTGGGTTATCACATGATGCCAAACTAGCCCGGAGCTGGACAAGCCAGCTGGGTATGTTCAGTAATGTTTGTCAGGAAACAGAGCTCTGCAGAGGCAGGAAGCAGCTGGAGCTGGGAGATACTTCTTGAGTGGAAGGTGAGCTCCCCATCAATCTGACATTAGCCTCCACCCCTTTAAAAAATCCTCTCATTCCACAGAGGATGGGAGGCCTGTGAGGGTCTTGCTGGCACCTGCCTTGTTTCCACTGTCCTGGGGAGATTTTAGCAGTGGCCTCTGCAGCAGCCTGGCTTCCTGGCAGTCAGCTTGTCCCACCTAGGGGAGGGCATGCTCCCCACCCTTCCCCCCATTTGCCCCCTGGAAAACCTGGTCACCTTCATACACGATCCGCCAGCCGGCAAAGAAGGCAGAGCTAAGTGGGACGTGCGAGTTGGGTGCAGAGGCCCGGTACTGTCTGTCCAAGCGGAACATGAAGGGCTGGAGCATGGTGTGGCCAAAGCGGAAGGCCAGGGTGAAGACATTGGCCACTCGTGGGTCCACATTGGAGCAGTACCCCCTGTAGGGTCCCAGGGTTCTCCTGGCCCGGGCCTTGCCCAGAACCAGGGGCAGAAAGTCTCGGTAGGTGATGATCTGGAAGAGAAGACAGGAGGAACATTCCCTAGAGGCCACTCACCCACACCCTTGCCTTTTCAAAGGGTGGCTCAGACATATTCTTTATTGTCATCATGTCAAATGTGACAATATTAATTTCCTATTAGTGGGTGGAGATACAAAGCCCAGAGAGGGTGAGTGACACAGACAGGGTCACACAGAGTTAGAGGCAGAATCGGGGGAAGAGGACAGATCCAGGCGCACCGCCAGTCACCCAGACCCAGCTGGTTTTAGGCACATCCCCAAGGATGTGTTAAGGACTGCTTCTCATGCCAAGCTTGTCATCTGGGGGATGCTGGGATGCAGAGCTCCTTACCTGGACCATGGCCCCCATGATCTTCCGAGCCTCATTGTACAGCTTGTCTCCAGTCCACCGGGGATTCAGGCGTCTCAGCTCGGTGGCCAGCCGGTTGTGCTCTCGCATAAAGAGAGTGTGCATGGCTGCCAGCTTGGGGGTTTCCGTTGATCGGGTGTCACCTTGAAAACCCCAAGCTCAGATTTACTGCAGCCTTTCCCAGAGCAATGTCTTTCTACTAAGGCAGACCCAGGGCTGGGGACTGGAGAGACGGGGTGGGCCACACTCCTGGCCCTCACTGGACCTCCATCTCTTCAGCTGTGCTGAGGCTCCTCATCGCCACTCTGCTCCCTAACACAACAGGTCAGGAGCAGAAGGACCAGGGGTTCCTAGGAGGCTTGGGTTAGGTGGGAAAGCACAGGGCAGCTGCTAGTCTCAGGCAAGGGCTTCTTTGCCTAAGGATTCTACTCGGACAACCAGATCCATAGCCCGGACCAGCTATGGGCAAGGGCACCTTGACTTTGGGACTGCGAGCCCACCTGTCCATGAGCTGCCTCTGCCTACATGTTCTCTGCCAAGGGCTGGTGTACCTTTTTCCATCTTTGGGCTTCATATAATACTGCTCTTCCCCGTGAGCCGGAGGGAAAGAGGAAGAGAGGGAGGGTTGGGCAGAGACTGTTCTTAGGAACAGACCTTCTACTACAGGCAGGGAAGGAAAGTTAATTCCATCATTTGCTTGCTTTTAACTAAACTCTTTTGCACAAGGTCTTAGTTCAGTAGACCTCTCCTGAAGGCACACGCTGTTCTTCTCAGGACACACAAATATACAATCCTTCAAAAGAGGGGCTGGGGCCGACTCCCTGTGAGGAAAACAGTGGAATAGAGTGGACTGGGCAGAGACCTGGAAACAATACCGACTGTGTTCTCAAGTGGACTCTGCCATTTGAAACTAACTGTGTGCTCTTGGGCACATGATTCACCTTCCCTGAGTCTCAGTTTCTTATCGTAAAATAAGACCAATAATATTTCCCTCCTTTCAGGGCTGTTGCAAGGTTTAGAGATGGCACGTTTAAATATCTTAATAAGGTTGGGTGCGGTGGCTCACGCCTGTAATCCCAACACTTTGGGAGGCCAAGGCAGGTCAATTACCTGAGGTCAGGAGTTCGAGACCAGCCTGGCCAACATGGTGAAACCCTATCTCTACTAAAAATACAAAAATTAGCCAGATGTGGTGGCAGGCACCTGTAATCCCAGCTACTCGGGAGGCTGAGGCAGGGGAATCACTTGAACCCAGGAGGTGGAGGTTGCAGTGAGCTGAGGTCGCACCACTGCACTCCAGCCTGGGCGACAG